GGCCGACGCCCGGATACCGCCAATATTGAAGCCATCAAAACGATGAAGCCACCAGAAGACATTGCAGAGCTCCGCTCGTTTCTTGGGCTCGTTAGCCATTACAGTGCTTTCCTACCAAGCCTTCATCAGCTCAGAGGTCCGCTGAACCAGCTACTGACAAAAGACAAGGGTTGGAAATGGACGAAGGAGTGCCAGCAGTCTTTTGATGCAGTCAAAGAAGCTCTCACCTCTGATCTACTCTTGACTCATTTCAATCCGAATTGCAAAATTGTCGTTGCTACGGATGCTTCCAATTATGGTGTCGGTGCAGTTATTTCCCACGTTTTTCCGCATGGAGGAGAGAAGGCTATCGCACACGCAGCACGGTCACTAACGGTAGCCGAAAAGAACTATAGCCAGATAGAGAAGGAAGCGCTCGCGATTGTTTTCGCAATGAAACGGTTCCATAAGATGCTGTATGGCAGACATTTCACGCTCCTGACTGACCACAAGCCACTTCTGTCGATATTTGGTTCAAAGAAAGGAATTCCAGTCTTTACGGCGAACCGATTGCAACGATGGGCGACCATACTACTGGCCTACGACTTCAACATACAGTATAAGCCGACGCAACAGATCAGTCAAGCGGATGCCCTGTGTCGTCTCATCAGTTCACACCCAAAGGAGAATGATGATTGTATGATTGCAGCTATCAGTTTCGAAGCAGAAGTCCAACGGATCCTGGCTGATAATGTGAGAAGACTACCAGTAACAGCAGACACTATTCGTATAGAGACATCACGGGACAGAATCTTGGAGAAAGCGATGCATTGTGTCCGAACATGTTGGCCAAATGGAGGCCTACCTATGGAGTTGCGGCCGTTTTACCATCGACGTGGATCCCTGTCAGCCGTGGACAATTGTCTGATGTTTGGAGATCGTGTGGTGGTGCCAAGGAAATTACAGAGACAAATATTGCAGCAGTTCCACACGGGGCACCCTGGTACTAGCCGCATGAAAGGCTTAGCACGCAGCTTTGTTTACTGGCCAGAAATGGATTCGCAAATTGAAAAATTCTGCCAACAGTGTGAATCTTGTCAACTTGCAGCGAAGGCTCCTCCCAAGTGTCAGTGGCAACCTTGGCCTAAAGCAGAGAAACCGTGGCAACGAATACACTTAGACTATGTAGGACCAATCAATGGCCAATCCTATCTCGTTTTGGTTGACTCATTCACCAAGTGGCCTGATGTGATTCCGGTAAACAATCCGACTGCACAGCACACTGTCAAAGAGCTAGAGAAGCTGTTCCGATACTTCGGCCTGCCAGAGGTGTTAGTGACAGACAATGGAACACAATTTACCTCGAATTCTTTCCGCGAGTGGTGCAAGCAAAAGGGAATTCAGCAGATGTTCTCACCACCATATCATCCGCAATCAAACGGACTGGCGGAAAGGTTTGTGGACACGTTCAAACGGGCACTCCGTAAAGCAGGGCAAATAAGGGCTTCACAGGATGCAATTCAATCTTTCCTATGCATGTATCGGAACGCTCCGAATCCAAACTCCCCTGAGGGGAAAGCCCCCACCGAAGCACTATTTGGAAGAAAGATTCGGACGTTGTTCGATAATCTTTTACCAAGAAAAATAGAAAAGCACGGCAACAGTCACCTGGAGGAAGATTGCAAAACCAAGCTCCGTAATTTAAATATTGGTGACATGGTTTACGCCCAGGATTTTCGAAGGCCGAAGGGGTGGTCGAGCGGAACTGTTATCAGCAGGAAAGGCAGAGTTATCTATGAGGTGATGGTTGGACGTGAGAAATGGATTAGGCACATCAATCAGTTGAGACCGAATCATGGCAAAACCCAAGGTCCCCAAGAACCACCAGCCTTACTTTGGGACATCCTACTAGACACGTTCGGGCTGGAAGCTGAAGGTGAGCAACCAGGTGTGACGAAACAAATGCCGCAAACATCAGATGCACAAGGCCGGCAGGCTCGGAAGCGGAGAAGACCAGAACGGCTGCAAATCGATCCCCGGGCGAAAAGCTACGAGCGCAATCAGGTTCGAAGGGTGTGCAAGGTGACTCCATTCGGAAGGGGAGGTGACAGCTGGGCGAGAAAGCTGAGTGCCAACGCCCGCGCGTTTGTCACCTATCGTGTGGGGGAAAGTCCTTGCGAGCGTGTTAGCAGGACCCAGCCGAGAGCTGATGATATCGCGCGTCAGACAGCAGGCTTGTCGGCAAGGCCTGACCGGAAGCTGATGAAATCGCGCGTCAGACATCACGCGTGTTACAGTGAATTGCGTAGGCGGACGAAGGCTGGAATGCGTGAGCAACACGGCGAACGAGATAGATGGAACGGACAAGTATGTGGGGAGCGTGGGCGTATAGTCAAATCCGCATTGTGATACCGACTTATAAATATGAGCTTTCTTTGCCTTAATAGAACTCTGGTCTGCTGAGTAGTCTTCTGTCTCCGTTCCGGTCGGGTTTTCCAAGCGTCAAACAGAGCAGGCGTAAGGGCGCAGATTTCGCAGCAGGCGTAAATCAAAAAGTCGGGAGCGAGCAGGGCACAGCGTTATAACAGTGATCTCCTCAGGACTTATGGTCATCTGACAACAAGCTCCAGTTCATCGTGAAGAAATGCATAGCCGTAAGCGTACGCCATCAGGTTGTCTGTAATTCTTGACTTCGGTCTCAAAACACGACCTCAGGGTGATCGTGTAGCATGGCCTTGGTTGCTTGAGGCAGGATGAAATGGCATCAAAATGAGGTACTCCATATCTTGGACTCTTACGTAGGGTATCGGGAATTTGGAGCTATCAACATTTCCGCAAAAGCTGGACGACTAATTGAGGACACAAGTGGAATATAAGTTCCAGGCCTGGTGTCCCTGGCGCAAGCACGACGTAGACGCAATTGATGCTCTACAACCTAGATTAACCAAACTCGATAGAGCATATTTCCATCTC